ATATGATTAACCTGATTTTGACATTTTGTAGTTTATACATGTATCCAAATATTACATGGTACCACCCTAATATGTACAAATTTTATGTTTTTTTAATGTATCAGTTAAAAATTAATTAATTTTAAACCCTCCTACAGTAAAGGAGTCACAAGATATAGAAGTTTTCACCAAAGTCTTAGCAGTGGAGAAGGTGGGAAGTGCTGGGATTCTGGATAAATGTTAATGGATAACCACTTATGACGTTATATATTATATATGTGACTATACATAATATATAATAATGAAATTTATATATATATATATATGTGTGTGTGTGTGTGTGTGTGTGTGTGTCCACACACACACACACACACACACACACACTTGGAATTGAATTCATGAGCACTTTACCACTGAGCTACATCCTCAGGCCTTTTTATGTTTTGTTTTGAAACAGGGTCTCTCTCAGTTGCTTAGGGCCTTGCTAAATTGCTGAGCTGTCTTTGAACTTGTGATCCTCCTCCCTCAGCCTCAGGAGTCTCTGGGATTACAGAATGGATCATCCTGACAGAGGAATCATTAGGATGAAAAGAGCAGACTTCAGATAGATAGAGTTTCAGGGGAGGCTCAAGAGTTCTTTTTTTTTTTCATTATGTTGATTTTTTTTTTTTTTTTTTTTTTGGTGCTGGGAATTTAACCCAGGGTCTCAAGAATGCTGGGCAAATGAACCACACCCCAGCCCATATATTTTATTTTTAAACTGAGATAATTGAGATATCAAAATTCTATTTACCCTTTTAAAATGTATAATTCACTGGTTCTTAGTGTATTCATAAGGTTGCACAACCATAAGTACTATCTAATCTAGAATGGTTTATGACTCCAAAAAGGAAACCTATTATCCATTCCCCCATTCCTGATATGAATGGATTTGCCTATTCTGGAAACTTCGTATAAATGGCACCATACAGTACATGGCCTTTTGTACCAGGCTTCTTTTATTTAGCACACTGTTTTTAAGGTCCATCCATGTTGTAGCATACATCAGTATTTCATTCTTTTATTTTTTTATTTTTATTGTTTGGTGCCAGAGATTGAACTCAGAGATACTTCGCCACTGAGCCACATCCCCAGCACCCCCACCCCGCCCCAGCACTTTTTTGTATTTCATTTAGAAACAGGGTCTCACTGAGTTACTTGGGCTTCACTAATTGATGAGGCTGGCTTTGAACTTGGAATTCTCCTGCCTCAGCCTCCTCAGTCACTGGGAATACAGGTGTGTTCCACTGCACCCAGCTAGTATGTCATTTTTTTAATGGCTGAATAACATTCCAGTATATGTATATATCACATTTTATTTATCTATTCATCAGTTGATAGATATTTGAGTTATTTCCTCTTTATAAATAATACATTATAAATAATGCAGCTATCAACATCAAAGTGCTAGTTTTCAAGTCAACATGTGTTCAGTTCTCTTGAGTACCCACCCAGGGTGGATTGCTGGGTCATATAGTAACTCTACATTTAATTTTTTGAAGCACTGCCAAATTGCTTTCCAAAGCAGCTGCACCTCATCAGTGATGTATGAAGGTTCCAGTTTCTCCAGGTCCTTGCCAACCTTCATTATTGTGTTTTGTTTTGTTTTGTTGTTTGTTATGACTATCCAGCGGGCATGCAGTGGCCTTGCACAGTGTGTTTAATTTGCATTCCCCTAATGACTAAGAAGGTTGAATACCTTATTGGCCATTTGCATATCTTCTTTGGAGAAATGCCTATTCCAATACTTTTCTCTCTTTTAAACTGGCTTTTCTTTTTATTATTAAGTTGTAAAGACTTCTTTGTATATTCTGGATACAGACCTTTATCTGATTAATGATTTCCATATTTTCTCTCCCATTCCATAGGGTGTTTTGAGAGTTTAGTTCTGGACATTTTGAATTTGAAATGTTTTATTAGACTACTAAATAATTAAAGAGGCAAAGAGGTGAGAGCTGAGAGATATAAATACAGAATCAGCGGTACAGGAAAGTATAATATTTAAAATCACGATGGGCTGGGGATGTGGCTCAAGCGGTAGCACGCTCGCCTGGCATGCATGCGGCCCGGGTTCGATCCTCAGCACCACATACAAACAAAGATGTTGTGTCCGCCAAAAACTAAAAAAAAAATAAATATTAAAAATTCTCTCTCTCTCTCTCTCTCTCCTCTCTCCTCTCTCACTCTCTTTAAAAAATAAAATAAAATAAAATCACGAGACAAGGTACGATCTCTCATTAAGAACACAAGAATAGAGGGAAAGAAAACTGAGCCCTGAGACACTAACATTCAGCAGCTGACAAGGAAAAGGAAAGCCACCAAAAGAAACTGAGAATTGATGGCCAGGGAGAAAGGAGGAAACCAGAGAGGGTGGGCCTGGAGAGCTTGGGTCAAGAGGAGGAGGACACAACCACCTGGTTCAGATACTCCCACTAGGTCAAGAACACTGGCGAATGAGAAACCACCACTGGGTTTAGCATCAGGAGGTGATCAGTAACTTGACCAAGGGCATTTGTGGAGGAATGTGGGACAGAACAGCCCCACGGAAGAGGGTTCAAGAAAAAGTGGAAGTGTACCTATCATCCCAGCTACTCTGGAGACTGAGGCCAGAGGATGGCAAGTCGGAGGCCAGCCTGGGCAACTTATCAAGACCCTGTCTCAAAACAAAAAAATAAAAATAAAAAGAGCTGGGGATGTGTCTTAGTGGTAAAGCACCCCTGGGTTCAATTGCTGGTACAAAAAAAAAAAGTGGACAATGAGAAACTGGTAATAATTATCTATATCTCTTTTAGGGAATTTTGCTGCAAACCTACAGTGATAGATAATTGGGATTGTCACCAGAAGGGAAAAGAAGTCCCTCCAAGGAGGTAGTAGAATGGCAACTTGGCTCCAAGAGGAGAGCGTCTGGGGTTCTTGACTCACACCACTGAAAAGAATTCCAGGACTTGTGGGAAGCAAAGCACAAGCAACTATTCATTGAAGAATTGCAAAGGTCCACACACCCTAAAGGCAGGGTGTGGATACCCCTGCTTCTCAGAGAAGAGGAGATGAGGGACACACCCAAGGTGGAGCTCTCTGGCTACATATATGACAAGTGCAGTTTCCCAGGCAAGCTTTGGTAAACATCAAATTCCATGTCAATCATTTGATATTTAGGATTCAGAAAGTTCTGGTTAAGCAGTCGAGCCACTAATCAGTTGTGGGCACATTGTGTGGGTCTTTGAATCTGGTGACTTTTAAGTTGATTCTGTTGTTGTCCTAGCTGATCTGGTTCAAGCATACACCGAGATAACTGAGACATCAGGACAATTACCCTTATAAAATGTACAAACCACTGGTTCTTAGTATATTCACAAGGCTGTACAACCATAAGTACTATCTAATCTAGAATAGTTTATGACTCCAAAAAGGAAACCTATTATCTATTCCCATAGATAAGTTCCATATCCATGGAACTTTTGTTTATTTAACTAAAAAGACAAGCGTGGTGGGTCATACTGGTAGATCTGGGTCTCTGTCTAATTTCCCTGAGAACCCACCTATCTCAGAAGTAAGGCCCAGAGTATCTTTTATTTTGTTTTCTTTATTTTTCCTTTTTTTTTTTTTTAAGAGATGGGTCTCACTCCAAGATGGCCCCAAATTCCTGGGCTCTTCTGCTTCAGCCTTCCATATATTGCAGCTTTGCTTTTAAGAAGGGAGAGATGGTATTGTTTATATCAGATGGGAATAAGCCAATGAGAACCAAACGTTAATAACATAGGAAAGGGAAGAATTGCTAGGGTGGCCTCCTGGAGTGGTGATGGTATGGGACTCATGGAAAACGGTCTTCGATGGGGTGCAGGCCAGACCTTCTATGGAAGAGGTGAGGAAGTTGTGTGCAAACCTGGCAGGGAGCTGGGTAGGAATCTGTGGCCCACTGTCTTCAAGGGAAGGGGAAAGCAACAACTCTAGCTGAGAGTGAGGATGGAGAAGTGGGAGTGAGGAGAGGGGAACTGTATGGAACTGTATCCAGGGGACAGACAGCCAGAGCAGTAGGGAAGGACAGTGCAGGTACCTCCCTCCCCATTAAGGGCTCAGGTGAGGCTTATGTTCTCAAACTCAAGGCTCAGTTCATGTATCACTTTCTCTCGAAAACTTTCTGGCCCCCAGACTAGGTCATAGACCCTTGTGCCCCTTCTCCCTCATAATAAAACCAAATCTGAACTCTATTATTCAGCGTGTGCTTAACCACTGAGCCACATTTCCAGCCCTTTTTAATATTTCATTTAGAGGCAGGGTCTTGCTGGGTTGCTTAGGGCACCACTAAGTTGCTGAAGCTGGAGACAGGAGATCCTCCTGTCTCAGCCTCCTGTGCCGTTGGGATTACAGGAGTGTGCCACTGGCCCCGAGTCCCCGGCCATTTTTATTTCTTATTTTGAGACAGGGTCCCTCCAAGCTGCTGGGGATCTCCCTAAATTGCTAACGCTGGCCTCAGAACTTGCAATCCTCCTGCCACAGCCTCCAGAGTTTCTGGGATTACAGGTGTGCGCTGGGGAGGGGCTATTTTTTAGCTCTTAAATCCCGGTGTCCCTCTGGAGACTCAACCCCAGGAAGACATGCGCAGAGCTGTTTAGACCCTCACTGCATCTAGCCCCTCAGCAGCTAGCCTCTAGGGCAGGGTACACTCTGGACACCTGATTAAATAGTTGAATGAGCGAGTGAGGTAATGAATGAGAAAAACCTTAGAAGTGCCACGAGTGCATTTGAGTCGACCCAGATTTCTGAAGCAGCCCCGCTCTCATCCCTGGGGGACAATAGACCTCCTCTCCCGACCCCACCACCTCCCTCTTCTAACTCCCAGCCCCACCCCCAAGCGCAGCACCCAGGAGCGCGGACCCTGCGACTTTAAGGGCCGGCAGAAGCCGAGCCGGGCGGTGATTGGTGGTTTATTCTAACGGGTGGAGGATGAGCTCATCGGCAGCCAATGGCCGGGCCGCACCGGGATAGACCCCCGCACCTGACTGGAGGGAGGGCCGCAGGCAGCGGCCGGCCGAGCGCACTCGCCGGCTGGGCTGAAGGGGCGGTGGCCATCGGGGAGACCGGGCCCCGCGGACCGGGCGCCTGGCTCGGGCAGGTACGGTGTTTTCCCGCTCCTCCATCCTCCCAGGCGACGAGGCCCCTTCCTCCCACCTCCTCAGCCCAGCCTTCCTCGGCCGTCCCTGGGGGACCGTGCACCCTGCGTGCCGGGGACTCGCGGGCTGCACGTGCGGGCTGCGGTGCCCAAGCGTGGACTTGCGGCTCAGAAGGCGGGACCCGGCCCGGTAGGGCCTGACCCGGGCTGCACAGCCCCATCGGCCTTGGTGCCCCCAGAGCACAGGCCTCAGAGCAGAATGTCCCCTGAGCTAGGCGGGGCGGGGACCGGTGGCCTCCCTCATCCTCCCGGCTGCATCCTGGCCAGGGACCAGCTCCTCGCTGTCGGGGGCAGGGCGGGGGGTGTGGGTTTCCTACCCACCCCTCCGTGCATCCTGTTTTCGTCTCTCTCTCTGAACAGAGGCCAAACAGACCTGGGCTTGGAAGTTCCCTGTTGGCCCTTTCCCAGTGACACCTGAGGGCAAAGGTGGCAGAGAGGCTACAGGAAGGGGCAGAGGCTGCATGGCTGCCCTCTCTCTGAGACTCTCTGCTTCTGCCGCAGCCTCTGCTCTTATCCTTTGCCCATCTGTGACACACATTGATGAGGGAGGAGCTACTGTCAGGCCCTTGGAAGCCACGTGGCTTAGTGGCTTTCCCAGACAAGGGCCAGGCGGTCAAAGCCATCCCCTCCATAGGCGGGTCACCCTGCCCTTCCTGCCCTTTATCAGCAAACTCCATCTATAGTGGCACCAAATCTGCCACTCAGTTATCTTATCTACCCATGGACTTCAAGGCTGGGCTCTATACCCAGCTCTCTGCTGGTTTCTGGAGGGTCCTCACTCACTGGCCACACTGACCTCAGGACCAAGAGAAACAAAACAAAGAACACACAGTCCATCTTGTCCTGGGAGAGGTGTCACTGAGCTGAACCAAAGGGCAAATGAGATTTCCATAGGGGCACAGGGAATGTCTGTGACGGACAATAATGATAGCTAGTGGGGAACAGTGTGAGGAACTGCCTTTGAGCTCAGAATGTGTGGACTCCACTTGTTTAACACGTGCTACACACCAGATTTGCTCTGTGGAGGTCCCATGAAGGCAGCTCTGGGTCACAGATAACCTCAACCTTCTCCGGTGCTCAACATATAATATATGCTTAAGAAATATTTGTTGAGCTGAATTTTTAAAATACGTATATTTTTTTATTCCAGGGATTGAACCCAGGGGTGCTTAACCACTGAGTCACATCCCTAGCCCTTTTTATTTTTTTGAGTCAGAGTCTTGCTAAGTTGTTGAGGCTGACTTTGAACTTGTGATTCTCCCACCTCAGCCTCCCAAGCTGCTGGGGTTACAGACAGATGCCACGTGCCCAGCCTTTTGAACTGAATTTGAATGGAAAAGAAAAAAAAGCTGTGTTATTCCATCATTACCACCACTTGGGGAGGATCTGGCTCATTGGGGGGGGGGGGAACTTATGCACATTAGCTCTCATCCTTCTGGCTTTTGGAGGTGAATAGTAGTGTCACTCCCAGCTAGGTCCTCCCCAATGCATTTGCAAATTCCAGATCCCAGCTGCAAGGCAGCCATGAGTCTGGTGGCCTTTGAATGCCTGCCTGGCCCAGGTCTGGAGCCTGAGCCCTGTTCGAGAGCACGATCCCAGGCCTGTGTATACCTAGAGCAGATTCGCAACAGGGTGGCTGTGGGAGCACCTGACATGACCAAGCGTGACTACCTGGTGGATGCGGCCACGCAGATCCGGCTGGCCCTGGAGCGTGATGTTAGTGAGGACTACGAGGCAGCCTTCAACCACTACCAGAACGGTGTGGACGTGCTGCTCCGCGGTGTGCATGGTGAGGGGGGGTCTGGGCAGCGACAGGGCATGGGAAGGGAAGGGCCAGAACAGGGCTTGCCCTGTCATGCATCTGTCCTGTTCTTTGTTCCTCTGCTGTTTGGCAGGGCACTATGCTAGCCCTGAAGGGTGTCTGTGATGGACAATAATGATAGCTAGCATCTATTAAGCTGTTCCTCTGCACCAGGCTCCCTTCTAAGGGTTCTACCTGTATTTAACCTCACAGTAATAGAAATGATCATATTGGTTGTTGCATATAATTATGAATATGTAGGAATGTTTTCCTTTCTTCTTATCTTTTTTTTTTTTTTTTTGAGATGGGGTCTTGCTGAGATGGGAGTCTTGCCCAGGCTGGTCTTGAATTCCTGGGCTCAAGAGCCTTCCTCCCACCTCAGCTGCCAGAGTAGCTTGAACTATAGACATTTGCAGCCAGGCCCCACAGGAACTTTTTTTTAGACTCATTTTCCAGATGAGAAAACTGAGTCATGAGCAATTAAATAGCTTGCTCAAGATTCCACCACTCCCAGGGGGCACAGCTGGGGTGGAAGCAGTTTTGGCTGCCAAGGCTGTGTGCTTGGCTTAGCATATTTGGCCACCCCTGGGTCTGAGTGGGTTGCTGCCCCCTGGAGCTTGCACTCCAGGGTCATGTGTGGCTAAGAGTTGATAATGGCCAATTAGTGGGAAGAACAATAAGGAGGAAGTGTGAGAGGATCGGGGAAACAGGCCAGATGGGGCTAATGGGGGGCATTTTCTAGAAATGCTGAAGAACAGCAGGGAGGCCCAAGGTGTTCCAGAGGGAGGGCCTGGAGAGGAGAGAGAGGCCTGCTCAGGGCAGAGTACTGGGAGAAAGGCTAGTGCTGCGGCCAGTTTGAGACCCCTGAGGGCCTGTGAACAGGCCACAGGCAGGAGTTGCCCCCACTCAGCCTTCCTATGCTCTTGCTAAAGAGGCCCCTCCAAGCCTGGGCTTTGGGCCTGTCTATGGAATTCTGATCTGGTCTCCACCCTGATGCCCTTTCACACTGGACCTCAGAGATGGAGGGCGCAATGCTCTCCAGGAACTTCATCTCCACTCTGAATAAATGGACATGGGATCCCCACCCTGACCCTTTCCATGGAGTGATGGTGGCCAGAGAGGTGGTGGGTGCCAACTGTAAAGTATAGCTGGCTAACTGTGCCATCTTCCTCCTCCTCCTCCTCACTTGGGGGTCAGCAGATCTGGGAAATAGGAGCCATCTGCTATGGAGGGTGAAGGGTGGGCAGCTGAAGCTGGGGGAGGGCCAGGGGTGGGAGACAGGGCCGGTCCCTGTGACCCTCGTTTCCCTACAGTGGATCCCAACAAGGAGCGACGCGAGGCAGTAAAACTAAAAGTCACAAAATACCTGCGGCGGGCTGAGGAGATCTTCAACTGCCACCTGCAGCGGACACTGGGCAGTGGAGCCAGTCCCAACACGGTTTGGAGACCCTCCCCAGGCCCCTTATCGGGGGAGGGCCCTGAGGGAGAGAGCTGAGGCCCAGAGTTGGCCAGCCTGTGGTGCCAGAGCTGCCTCTCCTGTGCTCGGGCTTCCTCCATCCCCCACACCCTCACAGCTCATTCATTCTCAGGCACTCACTGAATCATCCCTAGTCCAGTCTCGCGCTGTCACAGAGGACTTTACAGACACAGCCACCCCAGCTTGCATAGGGCTGCATTCACGTGCTCACATGTATGGAGCCTCTGGCCTGTTTCTCTTATGAGTGAGCAGGCTCCTGGTCTCTGGAACACACATAAACACATGAATGCAAATGTACACATGTCTGCCCAGGGCTCCCCATGTGGCTTTTGCTAAACCCGTGGGTACTTGATCAGGGTTTGAAATGCATGCACAGTTCCCATGCCTACTTGTGTGCACAGGCAAACGCGTCCACCAACTAGGCTCACTGGATCTTGCAGGCTGCCTTAACCCAAGGCAGATGGCTTGGTCTTCAAACCATGTTCCCTTAACCCACATGTGCCCAGGTTATTTCCCATCCCTTACCCTGAAGCATCTGTGGATGGGGCTTATGAGAGACTTCCGAAACCCTGAGAACTTTGGGAGGCTTGGAGGGCAAGGCAGAAGCTGAGCCAAATGGTCAGCCTGGCCACCCTGGACCAATGTGGGCCCCCACGAGTCAAGGCCAGCTTGTTAACTCAGCCTGTCCCTGTGAGGTGCGGTCTGCCTGGACTCTGGTCCTACTCACTGTGGTACCCACTGCTCTCCCAGCTGCCAGGAATCCTTGAGGCAAGTCAACCCTGAGCCCACATGTGCCTGTCTCCCTCCTCCACAGGGATTCAGCAGCTTGAGGCTCCGGCCCATCCGCACACTGAGCACTGCCCTGGAGCAGCTGAGGGGCTGCAGGGTGGTTGGGGTCATCGACAAGGTGAGTGGATGCCCAAGGAGTGGGAGGGAGACACGGGTGTAGGTGCCATCCAGGGTGGCAGAGGGATAGGTGGGTAGGACGGCCGTGGGTCTGAAGTGCCGCCTGACTCCTCCAGGGGCTGGTGGACGGGGTCAGAGGAGAGAGCAGCTGAGTCCAGGGGCCCCTTCTTTCCCACTCTCACGCTCCAATCAGGTCCTGAAGACGGTAACGGGGGAAGGAGGAGAGGCAGCCAGCACCCTCTCCACAGTGCTCTGACCCAGACACAGAAAGCCAGCAGAGGCCACAGGGAGAAGCTGCTCAGGGCACAAGACAGGCACTTGTGACCTGCCCACTCCCACTCCTCACAGACACCCACCTACTCTCACTCTGCACCCCAGGGGTGCAGCCCACCACACACAGCTGAACACTCCCTGTGACTGGAACGTGCTCATGCAAAGCTCTTCAGCAGAGGACCAAGTGGGCCTGCCTTGTCCAGGGCCTGGGAACTCTTCCCTTTTCTTCTGGCACCCCCCACCATCATCTGAATTTCCTTAATTCAGGGCAGACAGGAAGACAGGAGATGACATCTCAACCCTCACTCAGGGCATTCATTATTAAAGTGGGGAATCAGGGGGGCAAACATGTCAAATGAGAGCTGAGCCAGTCAGATTCCCCTCTGTCCTCCATCCAGGGCTCCCTGAGTATCCCTAAAACAATTTTTTCTCAGACTGGCCATTTATCAGAATCACTTGGAAAATACAGATGCCTGGACCCCACCCCACATCTGTGGTGTTAGAGGTTGAACCCAGAGCTGAACCCAAGACTCTGCAACTTAAAACACTTGTTGGATGATTTTGGTGATTCTGGGTTTATAGAGAACAGACCATTGTGGGTTTCCCCCCATGCAACAGGTTGGCATGGCTGCTGATGGGAGGAGGGGTTGTGGGGAGCAGACCCCTGCCTGGCAATGCACAAGGTGACCACAGGCAAGTCCCTCAGTGCTCTGAGCTTTGGATTCCTCATCTGTAAAGTGGGGTGGGAATTCTCTCCACAAAGGATGACCTGGGAAGGAAAATGAAATCATTTGGGGGAAAGGCCTGGCACATGCAAATATATTCCATGCATGTCTGATGGCTCCCAGTGCAAGTGACATGAGCGAGTGAAGAGGCACAGGCTCCCAGCCCCAGGCTTTGCTACAGCTGCTTCTCCTAGGTCCCTGGAACAGACCCCAGACTGTCACCAAAGGCCCAGCCAGCTTCCATCTGCCAGTCCCCCTCTGCCTGCGCTATCTCAGTGGACGCAGCCCCAGCCTGACCTTGACCAAGCACAGCCACTCCCATGGATAGGCTGGGGAGGCGACCATTTCCCACTAAACCATAGGTGTTATGATGAAGGGTGTTCCAAGTTAAATAAGTTTGAGAAACAGTGAGTTAAGGTTCCATTACTTTTTTTTTGGGGGGGGGGGGATGATAGGAGTTCTCTGAGCTTTTAGGATGCAAATGTATACTTGGAGTCTTGGAGACTCCAGGAGGGAGGCGTGTGACACAGCATCCCTCAAATTTGTTTAACTCCAGCACGACTCTGAGGGCTGTGCAGATTGAAAGCACAAATTAAGGCCAGACCTAACCATGCTGTCTCCAGGTCGCCCTCTTTCTTTGTGTCCCTTTCGTGCACACTCAGTTTATGGATTCAGCTCCCTCCTGAGACCCTGCTTACTTTTCCTGTGTCATACCCAAGACAGGAACAGCACTTTCCCCAAATTAGGAAAGGTGTTAGGGCCACTGGGCCCATTCCATAGCTCTGCCCAGGCAGATCTGGGTGGCAACGCAGTGCCAGCCCAAGGCAGCTGCAGGCCTAGGAAGGCAGCAAAGATGCCCTGAAGGTGTCTAGTTTTTTGGGTTTTTTTTGGGGGGGGGTCCCTAGGGGCTGAAGAGAAGCTGGCAGGGGTAGGGGGAGCAGGGAGCAGGGAGGTGCGTGGGCCAGGGTTTGTGTAGACAGCCAGGACACCCAAGGGTTCATCTTCAAGGAACCTGGGGACCAGGGAGATGTCACTCAGTTTTTGCTGAGCTTCTTCCAGAAGCCAGCCTCTGAGTCAGGCATGAAGAAGAAAAATGTTATTAAAGTCACTTCTTGCTTTATTTGGCTCAAACACAGGGGTGTTTTTGTTTTTGATTGTCACCAACATTTTAAACGTGCAGATTTCAAATAAGAAATCCAGATTTCTGGCTTCTCCTGAAAAAAATCAAAATACTTGGAAATTCAGGGTTTGCATTCCCACCTGGTTGGAGAAGCTGAGCACTTCAAGGGGGTGCAGGCCCATCTATTCGTCTTGTCCCCTTCCGCGCCCCCCCCCCCCACACTTTCACATACTCAGTGGGCCTTTGAGTTGGAGAACCTATTTGAATCTTTTGGATTGTTTGCTCCGTTCAAGATTCCTCCTAGGACTTAGATTCGGGCATCTTTAAAGAGAGGGTTTATTGTGTTTCACCAAAGTTTTAATCATCTCTGTGTCCCAAAAAACTCAGTAGGGTTTTTTTCTAAAAAGAAAAAAAGTCATCTTTTAAGAAAAGTAAGAAGAGGCACCCCAAACTGCCTTCCATCTTTCCAGTTATCAGACTCACCTGACATTCGTTGTCATGGCATGTTGTCATTTCCAGTGCTGTGGCAAGAGGTCCTCACAGTTGCTGTTCAGTATAGAAGCCATTAGCCACATAACACAATTTACGTTAATAGTAATTAAAATCAAGTATTCTGTCTTAATGGCACTAGCCACATTTCAAGGGCTAACTGGTCACATAAAGCTAATGGCTTCGACACTGGACAGTGCAGATATACAATATTTCTACCATGGCAGGAAATTCTATCGAACTTGTTGCATCATAATAATTGTCTGACAGAGAATGAAACTGAGGTTCATGGAAGTTGAGTACTAACTAGATAGTACTCGGTCCCTCAGGCCACTAAGCAAAAGAAGAAGGGGATTTTTTTGTTTGGTTGCATTAATGGGAAAATGCCCTCTTTGCTGCCCTTTAGAATATAATGAAAGAGAAAGGAGTTTAAAACTGGAAAAAAAAACAAGTCAAAACTTACTGCTATCTAACTCCAAATAATTGCTGTTAATGTTTTGGCCTAATTCTTTCTAGATAAATAGTTAGGCTTTGATTTTTTTTTTTTTTTTTAACACAAAATCTTTCAATGTGTGTGTAAAGCGGCCATTCTGGCTTTGCCTTCACTGATGGTTTTTTGGACAGTAAATCAAGAGGGCCTTGCCCAGGACAAGGTGGTGGGGAATCCCACTTGGCATGGGATGGTGGGGAATTATCCGGGGTGTTGGTACTTGTGGGAAACTCTGTTCTCTGAAATGACCCCAGAACTTTCTGCCTTTCTTTTTCAAACATTGCACAAGTTTGGTCAAGGAGCCAAAACCAGGGTTCTGTCTCTGGCTGCTGAAGGGGAGACCTCTGGTGGTCAAAGGGACACCTCCCAGGCGAAGGGCTGGCACTAGTCTGCTGCTTTCTTTTTACTAATAGTAGGGAAAATGAGTCCCAAAGGGAAGGAATTTGCCATGGTCACCTAGTCATGCCCCCCGTTGTAGTGAGGTCTTCAGGACTCTGGGATCAGCCTGCCCTGAGTCAAATCCTGACTGCTACTTTTTAGCGGTGGGACCATAGGTGGGCAATATCACCTTTCTGAACCTCAATTTCTTCATCAATAAAATGGGCCACTAGTAACTGTCACCTGGTAGGTTGTGGGAATAAAGTAACCTGTGACAAGTACCTAGCACAGAGTGAACTCTTCATAGCCAATATAGATTTCTTCTACAATGCCTTTTGATAATTGCTATGGATTATGAGGGTTTGTACTTCGATTGACTGCTTTAATCAAACCCCCTAATGACCCTCTGGAGGAGGAACTGCTATGAACCCACTTTGCAGTTAAGAAGAGCAAGGTTAAGAGAGGCTACATGATTGGCAACCCTGATAAACGCCATTCTTGCAGTCTGTGCAATCCCAGAGGCTTGCCCATGTGAGGCTTCATCAAGCCCATGATGCAGAGAAGGCGGATATTTGTAATTCCGTTTGGTGGTAGAAAACATTGCCTCACCTGTCCAATATGTAGATGCGCAATGCACTTTCCCCTACCCTAATCCTGGCTGCATTGTCACCACTGTCTGGCCTTAGGGTCTGGTTCCCACTCATCATCATGGCCAAGGAGTCACAACACCAGGGTGCTGTCTTGCCTCCACATGCCCCTTTATCAAGGCTGAACCCTCTGCCTTCTTGTCCTGACACATCCATGTGCCCCCTCCTACAGCTGGGCCCACCCAGTTGAATCAATGACCCAACTCCAAACAAGGTGTGGACCAGCAGATGGGCTGAATGCTACCTGTAACCCAAACTAACACCAGGAGGGGCTGCTTTCTGAAGACAGCCTCCAGAGAGAGATTTATTCATTCAGGCTGGCCTTGAACTTCTAGGCTTAAGCAACTTTCCTGCTGCAGGCTCCTGTGTAGCTGTAAGGCACAACCACACCTGGCTTAAAGAACTTTTTTTCCTTCTTTTTTTGGTACCGGGGATTGAACTCTGGGATGCTCAACCACTGAGCCACATTCCTAGCCCTTTTTTTTTTTTTTTTTGTATTTTACTTAAAGACAGGATCTCACTGAGCTGCTTAGTGCCTCACTTTTGCTTAGCGCCTCGCCACACACACACACCCTCGAGGTACATGAATTGTCATGTACCTTGACCAGTGCCTCCTGGACTTTGGCAGGTGCAGCTGGTCCAGGACCTACTCCTGGCTAGAGAACTTTATTTTTTATAAAAGGAGGTGCAGAAGGTCAGGGGGAGAGACCCCAAGAAGATTGCCAAGCCCAGGCATAGTTCAGCCCACATGACCTGGAGCTGTACACTCAGAGCCTCAGCTTCCTCACTTGTAAAACAAGGATCAGAGGAAGTGAGTGAGGTCCCTTCTGGCTGTGACACCTTCAGACCCTGCAGAATGGTGGGCTCTGGGTGAAGTCTAAGTGAAGGGTTGATCTCCTTATGTGAGGCCTGGCCAACCATGGGCAAGAAGGGGGAGAGAAGTTCTTCTCACATCAAAGTCCTCCCAGCCCCAGCAGCTGGTACTGGGGCCACTCACCAGGCATGTGTAAAGTACCCACTCCATTCCTGTGCTGTGCTTGGCTCTGGGAATACAAAGCTAGATAGTGTGGTCCCTGCCCTCGGGAGCTCAGAGTCCAGGGAGCAAATATGTAATGAGACACGGTATGACAAGGCTTCCCCGAGGGTGAGCACAGAATGCACTGTTGATGGACTAGGAGCCCCAGATGCTGGAGGAGGTAGCCCCAGAGCTGAGATCTAGCAGGGTAGAACAGAACAAGGTTTAGAGGTGGAGGACATCTCTGAGCCACCAAAGCCTGCCCTCCCTGCCCTTCCCTGGAGGATCAGCTTGGTGGAGAAGCCTGGTGGGGGGGGGGCAAAGAGCCCCAGGAATTGTCATGTACCTTGACCAGTGCCTCCTGGACTTTGGCAGGTACAGCTGGTCCAGGACCCAGCAACTGGAGGGACCTTCGTGGTGAAGGTAGGTCCTGCCCAGCTCCCGCCATGCTGCATTCCCCTTGGGACTTCCTCAGAGTTCTTGAAACCCCTTCCTTCTGGGGAACCCCATCCTCAGAATGTGCATCAGGAGCCCATGCTCCCTCCAAATCTAAAAGCTGCTTGTTTTGCCCCTGAACATGGCCCCTGCCTCCTAACCAGACACACATGCGTGCGCGCACACACACACACACACACACCCTCACCTTGGCCAGGAGGGTGGAGGACCTGATTCCTGGGGAAAGAAGGGGAAGCCAGGTCAGAAACTGGGGAGGCATATGCTCCTCAGAGTTGCTCCCATTTCTCATCTGGGTTCCCCTGAAGCAAGGGCTAAGATGATCCCTAAAAGTGGCAGCCTCTGACCAGTCCCAGCTGACCTGCCTACTCCCTCCCCAGAGCCTGCCCAGGTGCCACGTGGTGAACCGGGAGCGGCTGACCATAATCCCGCATGGAGTGCCCTACATGACAAAGCTGCTACGGTATTCCGTGAGTGAGGACTCCATCTTCTTGCACTTGGAACATGTGCAAGGTAAGGGGGCCCCTCAGCAGCTTGGGCCTTTGGTATTGTTGACACCTACCCCCTTAAAATACTGAGCCCTGGGGAGGGTTGTGGCTTTCACTAGATGCACAGTAGAGATCAGGGATCCAGCCTTTCTGGAGATTGGTGGCAGGACCTGGCACCAGGCACATCTGGTGCCAGAGGGGCTGGGAGGATGTCTGCATGTAAGCAGATGAGACAGCATTCATACACTGTCTCCTTGGTCACCATTTCCTCTTGTCTTGGCTCTTCTCATTTTTCTGGTTGGTGACCGTCTCTCAGAATGGCCACACAGGATGGTGGTGACTGAAGCCTTAAGGACAGGAACTGAGCCATGTAACTGATATTTATTGATGATTATAGTGATTTTTAAAAAATGAGGTACATCCTTGAGTCATGACATAGAGCTGTCATGGATTCCTGCCTGGTCTTTGACTGTCGTTACATAAGTCTTCCTATGAAAAACGAAAAAAAAAATTAGAATATGTTGAACATTGGTGAACCCACCATGCAGAACAAGGCCATCAACAATAAATACAGCAGTCTTGGGGTTCAGCACCTATGCTATGCAGGCTGGGAGGCTGGGCCTTCGAGGCTGAGTGGCAGGCAGGGGCAGAGGTGAAGAGGTTGAACAGGGAAGGAGCCCAGGCAGGTGGAGGTCCACACCCAGCATGGAGGGGAGGCGGGAGTGAGACCAGACCCGGTGTCCATGCCCTTCTTCTCCCTTCCCATGCTCACTGCTCCCTCTGCCTGGCCCAGGAGGCACTCTCTGGTCCCACCTGCTCTCCCAGACGTGCCCCCAACATTCTGGGCTCAGGTCTGGCTCCACCCAGGAGAAGGTGAAGGCCCAGCTCAACACCAGCCACAGCCTCAGTCTCCTGACCCCAGCACAGCTCCCCCCAGGCCACACCCTCAGGCAGGCCAGCATCCCTCCAGAACCTTCTTGGACTTCTCAGAGCCTTCCCGCCGCCAAGGAGGCCCCCTCCCTCAGACCCCAGAGAGAAGCAGAAAGTGAATCCACAGGCAAGACCAGCACTTCCTGCTCCTTGGACCTAACAAAAGCCCCCAGTGGCTTGAACCTGCAAGCCAGGCGGGCTGGCCAGAGGTCAGACCCTGGGCCCCCTTGGGGGATCCCTTGGGTTCGCAAGGGGGCTGGCCGGGTGCTGGGGGGCTGTGGCCTAGGCAGAGGTCAGAGCCACCCATCAGAGGGCAGGGCCAGCCTAGGGGGCAGTGGGGCTGTCTGGAGCGTGAAGGAGGAGAAGGTGAAGCAGTGGGCAGCTGAGATGTTGGTGGCACTGGAAGCACTACACGAGCAGGGGGTGCTGTGCCAGGACCTCAACCCCAGGAACCTGCTCCTGGACCAGGCAGGTAGGAGGCCCAGTCTCACTACCCCTGCCCTTCTCAGGTGGGATGCCCCCAGGGTCAAGGTGACCTCTTAAGTTATGTGCCACTTTCCCCTACCTCCATCCAGCCTTTCATTGGACTCTGATGGAGTCTGGCTTGCCTTTGTCCCCATGAGACTCGGGTAGCAGCTCCCAGGAACATCCTGTGAGCCTCTGGGTCTTAGGGGCTGTGCTCTTGGGGAGACTGTCCAGCATGGCAACCTTTGGTTCCCACCATGTGACTGTGTTGGGGGAAACCCTGGAACCACCTCCCCCATGCCAGCTGCTTGGTGACGGTACCCTCAACCATTGTCCCCTGTCATTCCTTCCTATTCACACTGGACATGAAGGTCACATCCGGCTCACATATTTTGGCCAGTGGTCAGAAGTGGAGCCCCAGTGCTGCCGGGAGGCTGCAGAGCTCCTGTACAGTGCCCCAGGCAAGAAGGCAGGGGGTGGGGCTTGGCCTCTGGTACTTCTGTGTGGGCTGATTCTGGGGGCTAAGGATGACAGAGGGGATGGACAATATGTGGTAGGATGAGAAGAATGGAGAGGGCCCTTTTGAGTGAGGCAGGGATGTGTGTGTTCCTGTTCCTGCAGAGGTGGGTGGGATTTCTGAGCTGACAGAAGCCTGTGACTGGTGGAGCTTTGGGTCGCTGCTGTATGAACTGCTGACAGGAAAGGTGAGTAGCTGGCAGGGTGTGGAGCCCTGGTGGGTACTGCTGCGCCCAGTCATTCAGTGACTGGGCAGAGGCTGCATGGTTCTCTAAGATCTGGCCATGGGGCTGAAAATCCTGCCACCCCTGCAGGCCACCAGGGATATAGGAAGACACTTCCACCAGGCCATGGGCACACAGCACCCCACTGCACTAGCAGCTATAGCAAATGAGATGGTCAGCTTCTATGAGTGTTAAGTTGGGACAGTTAGGGAAGGCTTCTGGAAGAGAAACCAGGCTAAGGTTTGAAGAGAGGGTGGAATTTGACAACCCTCCTTCCCTGGATCATCCCGAGCTTCCTCTGCCCACTGCTGGCTCCTCCTACCTATGCCCTTAGGGGCTTCTGCCCCAGATCTAAATGGGAGGATGAGGAAGGGAGGAGGCAGGCCTTTCATCTAGGGCAGTAGCTGCCCTGTCTTGTTTGGGTTAGCCAGGAGCTCAAGGTTCCCCTACAACCCTCTTGCTCAGGATGATGACTGCCCTTTGTCCTCCCCTGGGATGAGCTCAGCACCACATCCGGGGCCCGTTAAGAAAAAAGCAAGGAAAGCAAGGGAGAGGCCAAACTGCATCTGAGCAGGAAACAGCCAGAATGGATGCAGTGTGACCTGAAGTCCAGACCTGACCTCCTGGCTCCCTCCTTTTTTTGTCCCCTATCTGGGGGCCTCTGAGAGTCCTGGCTGCAAATATTCACCCCCACCACCACCACCAATCCAGCTCTCCTAGTCTCCCACCACCTCTACAGGCTAGGGTTCCTGGTCTTCATCCTGGAGCTCCTAGCAGCTAACCCTTACCTCCAAACAGACCCCCTCTGCTCTCCAAAGCTGCACCTTTGGGCATGGAGAAGTAAGTCTATGTCACCACACCCTGCATAGCATACAATTCTTACCTTGGGCCTGGAGGCAACAAGACATGGTCAGCTGTCAGATGAGTAGCCCATGGAGGCTTTTCTCTGTAAGGAGACAAGTCCCAGAGCCATTCCTAATAGTATGTCTGTCCCAATTGCCACCCGAGATGGGTACTTGTAGGAAGCTTGCAGCCAGAGGGACCTGGGTTCAACCCTGAACTCAGCACAAGTCCCTTTTCCTCTGAGCCTGCTTCTTGTCTTTAATGATAAGGTATGTCAGGGATCCAGAACAGGGTCTGGCACCTAGTAGATCCTGAGCAAAAGGCAACTCTCAATGTCATCATTATCATCATCCCTATGGAATGTGACATGAGGGTGGGAGTGGGTTCCTGGCTGCCACTGGAGTGTAGACTTTCCTGGGGCTGCCTCCTCAGAGGTCCTCCTTTTGTCCTTCCAGGCACTGTCACAGAGCCACCCCTCAGGATTCCAGGCTCATACCCAGCTCCATCTGCCTGAGTGGCTCAGTCCCTCAGCAGCCTCCCTGCTGACTGAGGTGAGGTGCAGCCCAACCTAGAGGTGGGTGGGTTCTTGGCCTATGGTTAAAGACTGGTGGCATAGCATCCCACAACTATGTGTGACACATGTGTGTTGTGTGGGTACGGAAGGGCAATACATAGAAATCTTAAACATTGGTGACCAACTGCCACCAATGACCGCCCATACCCTCTGGGGAAAACAGGGTTTACAGGCAGGGCTAGCAGGGAGTGAGCCACCTAGGGCCGTGGTGAGACCTTAGGGGTGGGCCCCTGCCTCAGTGGTGGGGGCGGGGAAGGCCTGTCAGAGTACTGACCCCTGGTCTCTCCCAGCAGCTGCTACAGTTCGATCCCACACAGCGCCTGGGTGCTGCAGGAGGTGGAATCAGCAAACTCAAGTCCCACCCCTTTTTCAGTACTATCCAGTGGAATAGACTGGTGGGGTAATGGGGTGAAGTGGGTGGTGGAAGCAGCTGCCCAGGTCTGGATGTCCTGCCTGCCTGTCAGAGCTGGCCCCTCTAATCAGTGGGCTGCAGGTGAAGAATGTGGGGTAGCTGTCTTTCCTGCCCAGCTCCCTACATGGGCCTCAGGAACAATTATCACCACTGCCCCAAAAGGGCCAGCCCCTGAAGAAGCTGCAGAAGGGCAGCAAGGCTTCCCCTGCTAATAAGCAGCTTGACCAGCCTTCCACCCATCAGCCAGCAGACACATGTTGAGTACACCCTATACCCTAACATGGACCTACCACCTTAAAGGGCACCTTCTGTGGTACTGGCTTTGAACTATGGACCACCTGCTGAGCCCACAGGAGGTTTTGTGATATATTCCTTCACTACCATGCTGTGCCTGACTTGGGACATCTCTGGAAACTCCTCCCAGGATACAGATCCACTGGCTGCTCGGTAGACCCAAACCAGGGCCGTCCCTGGCTGTCTTCTTAGTCATGCAGCAAGCAGCTACTAGTTGCTCCCATCAGAAGCTGTTCCCATAGGGGTAGGGAGAGTGGGAAGCAGGGGAGAAGGTGCAGAACTGGATTATCCACTCTTCACTCCTGTCCAGGACCCTTATCTGGTGATTTCAGACTTGGGAGAGCAAAAGGGAGGGGAGAAACTAAGAAGATAAGGCAGAATGGGATGGGAACAGGTGACACAGTTTGCCACTTAGATCAAATTTGAAAACAATAAAGAGCTTTTTTAGCTGGGCATAGTGGCATGTACCTATCATTCGAGTGACTCAGGAACCTGAGGCAGGAGGATTATAGTTCAAGGCCAGCCTGGCCAACACCGTCTCAAAAAAAAGCAGTGTTGGGGGGGGGGGGGTGAAGAGGCTTGAGATGTGGCTCAGTATTTTGTAGAGCACTCGCTGGGTTCAATCCCTAGTACAAGAACAACGAACAAAACAAAAACTTCTCCAGCTGCCAGCTGGCCCACCTAGCAGGGGAACCCGTCCCAGGTTCCAAGAGGGGCTGAAACAGCTAAGACAGGTGTGCCTATGAGGATTCCCTTCTCAGGCACTGGATCTATTTACCATACTGCATTTTGGTTGAGGTTCTACTCAATTCACTGCCCACTGTGACTTCATTTCTGTTTGAGTAAGAAACCATGAAACACATTAAATTATTACTCACTTTTAGCCAGAAGCAAGATGTTTCTAGTCTCTGAAGAACTGGGTAAGTGGGCACCTCAAAAGACCCCAGGTATGAAGGTCCTTCTCACACCCCACCAGCTTCCACTAAACCTATGCCCTCAGCTCCTTCCTGTCAGTGTCTCCACTACCACCAGGTGGTGTCTCTGGAGGACCAACTCTCAGGCCAGACTTGGTGTCCTGGGGAGGTCCAAGGCTCCCCAGCTTCTCAGGAGGACTCTGGGGAAGAGGATGGGGAAAAGCAAAGCCTGTGTATGATTATCTATGGCTCATGCCAGGCATTTGCCCACCCCCTAATAAAGCCTGCTCTTCCTACTGTGTCCTTGCATCATTAATGTAGTCAAAATACCTGCTAGAAGGGGCAGATTGCAAAGCTCAAGAATGAGCTTGGGTCCTGCTAGGAGAAGCTGCCTCAGGTCTCAGTGGAAGTGGAAGTGGCAGTGTAAGGGGCACTGGGCTCTGTGGGAAATAAGAGAGGAAGAGAAGCCTTGAAAGAGGGTCATGGTACCTGGCAGGTGAGGGGGACTAGTTTAATCTTCAGTGACCCCTCAGGAGATGGTAGCTCCTGAGAAAATTGAGACTCCAAGAAAATTGACTCTATAGCAGCAGGACCTCAGAGTTACTGTTCCTTCTGCCGCACTCCCCAGTCAGGCCAAACTACTTCCATCCACTGCTTCCTAAAGTGCAGGTCACTTCTGAAGGGTCCCTTCCTGCCAGCACACACTACACACTTGGCACTGTTAGGCCCTCAGTTTAGAATACTGTGGTCCCAGTACTAATAAGGCTTAAGGTTGATCTTTCCAAAAAAAATGTGCTTTGGTTTACTAGAAAATTAATAAAGCTTCTGGCACCAAGCCCTGGACTTGACACATAATTCTAGCTCTCCCTTTCACTGAACCATTTTTACCCACCAGCTCTAGACCTGCCCTCTAGGACCTACTTCCTTCCTGCAACAGACCTCCACAGACTGCTGGCCTCACTATAGGCAGGATCAGCAGACAAGGACTTTGTGTGGAAAGATAAAGCTGTTTAAGCATGGACTCAATGATGCCAGTCATCAGTCTAGCATAGTTATCAGCTCTTTTCACTGACCCTCAAGGACCCAGCTCTGCGGAAACTTCCCCTCATTTGCTCATACTGACCTCATGCATCTTGGTACATGTGACAAGTCCAAGTAAAACTATAAGAGATACTGCCACAATCCATCCCAGAAATAATACAGCCCCCCAAAGTGCAGCTGTCCCCTGGTACTGTGAAGGGGGAATCACAAAGGTGAAAACTATAATTTCTTGTCTAGAGTCCAGCTAACCATGGGGCTGGGGTTGTAGCTCAGCGGCAGAGTGCTTGCCTGGCATGTATGAAGCACTGGGTTCCATACTCAGTGCCACTTAAAAATAAGTTAAAAAAAAAAAAAAAAAAAGTACTGTATATATTTACAACTAAAAAAAATTTTTTTAATTAAAAAAAAAAAAAAATAAGAGTCCAGCTAGCCAGGCTTATAAGGTTCCCTAGAAGCAAGCTGGGGCACTAAGAGACTAGTGTGCTTCCCTGGCTGGCGGACTTCCACCTTCTGTCATATTAGTACAGTTTAACTTAAGTCAGAAGCATGGGACATCATGAGACCAGTGCTAATGACAACCATTAATTAGTACAACTATCAGTGCTGAAGACTTACAATACCTCAGTAACCAAAAGGAGCACAAATGCAGGAACCCTGTTTGAGAACATGTGTCCTTTAATTTTCCTTCAAAATCAGTTTCTTTAAATACTTTAGTTACAAGTTCTGAATGGTAAAGACAGAGTAGCAGATGCTGCAGGCACTCAGTACCGGCCCCTCCCCCCACCCCCACCCCCGGCCTTGCTTCTTGGCTCAAGATAAAAAAGGGCACTCTGCACTAACTAATGGCCCCGGTGTCAAGTGCCAGCAGTCTCAGGCATGGATGCAGTTGGATACAAAACCATACAGCACAGTAGCTTTCACAAGATACTTGCATTTAACCATGCTCCAAAGGAATTCCAATGATTGTGCCCAGACTCAAAGGGCAGTACCTTAGAGATGATACCAGTCATTTCATCACTATGTACTAATACCTGGAGGCTGGGTCCCACCACAGTCCATCCTCCCCTAGATCTGTGTCCTATAGGGCAAGAGCCAAGGCCTGGCTCCCTATGGGCCACAACATGGGAAGGAAGAGGACAGCCTCCTCAGTCCAACTTGAATCTGAATCTAAAAGCTCGAGTCAATGTGAACAAGTCAGAGGATACCTCCTCTCCCCAGGTTCCAGTCTTCACTGTGACCAGGCTCTGTCCCACTGCCATGATGCGCTAGAATCTGCTCTAAATGAGGACAATGTGCTAGATGGTTCCTAGCATCCTGGAAAGGGTTGGCACAACCACAACTGTGTGATTATGCCAAAGTGGGTCTTCCTGGCATGAATCTATGACTGTGAGTGTGAGGGCAGGCCTGAGTTCTGCTCTCACTGACATTTACAACATGTTGCCTCAGGGGGGTACTCTGCCCTCTCCCCCCACAACCAGATCCCCTGGCCTGTGTTTCCTGGAAGAGGTAGAAGAGGCATCTTGAAGTCACTGACATCTGAGAATGACGGTGCCATTTAAGAAGCAAAACAGCACCTCTTCACCTGTGTTCAGTACCTCCACACAGATGGCATCAAGTGAGAATGTGCACAGCTGGGACAGAGGCTGCTCTGAGCCTGGGAGGCAGAGCACCCCCCTAGGCATCTCTGGAGAACAGATTTTCCAAAGATGAAAATTTAATCACATGGTCCCAGTGGTTTCCCTATAGTATACTGGCAATGGGGAGAAGCAAAAATCATCTGTGCAGAGGCTAAATGGAAGAAAGGCAGGAATATTAATGAGCATCCATTAAGGCTCTCTCACTCTCTCTCTTTCTCTTAAGCCTAAGGAAATAAGATATTCAAAGGCCAGAGAAAGATTCAGAGGGAGAGAGCCTGGCAGGAACACCAAGAGAAGACCTGCAACTGCTGGTTACATAGTACCCTGGCTTCCTTGCTTGAGGCCAACAGCAAATACCTGCCTGTCACAGGCTAACCTGGGACCCATGAGGGGACAAGGAGAAGACTGGTTTTAAGTTCCTGCATGGTCGATTTGTAGGGTATGGGGCTTTCTCTTAAAGGTCCAGAAGGAGAACTCTGGGATCCTCTACTGCTGCCTTGATTTTGCGGAGAAAAGTCACAGCCTCTCTGCCATCAATCAGCCGATGGTCATAGGTCAGGGCCACAAACATCATAGGCCGCACCTCCACCTGTAGAGGGGAAAGGTCAACAGGTCTGTCACCAATAGGTCAGAGAAAGCTCTGCAGAGGGAGGGAGATGGGAAAGTGCTGCCCTCAGGCAAGCTCTTAGTTCCAGAGGCTTTCCTATTAATGTGGCCACTGCATACTTATCATATTTTCAAAGGCCAATCTTTACCCTTAGTGCAAAGCTCCTCTACTTAGAAACAAAGAATAAACAAAGAGAAAATAGTCTCACAACTGCCCTTAAAATAAAACAACACAACATAATCTGCCTTGTCCACCCTCCAACTCATCTGCTATCTACAGAAAGCCTTCCTCCTCTGTTTGGGCTGCCTGAAGCATTGCAATTACACATCCCCCACCCCTCCCCTCCGAAGTTCTAGGGATTGAACCCAGGGCCTCAAACCTGCTAGGCAAGTGCTCTACCACTGACCCACAGCCCCAGCCCATAGTTACAATTTAAAAGAAAAATATTTAACCTGGAGTGCACAAATTCTCTTGACACTATGCAAAGTTGGGTGACCACTTTTCAGGCAGAAGATCCATGGCTTTTCAATTCACAAAGGAAGTAATGATCCCAAAAGATTCTAAACCCAGGAGTCTGAGAAAGTTTTTTTCCTATCAATATATCTTTTAAGGGCTAGCTGAAGCCCCTTTATCATCTAAGGCCTTAGAAAATTTCCAAGCCTTATCAGACAACTTCAAAGCTCCTAAATTCTTGTGCATTCTTGTCTTCTGTTTCCCAGGGACAAGGTCCATGACTGCAACTCTATCCCCCACTCTCTATAGCACCTAAACAATGAAACATTTTAATTGGTCCTAGAGGAAGGGCAAGTCTCCTCAATGGTTCTCAAATATGCTGAGATGGAATTAAGAATCTGCATTTCTAACAAGTTCCCAGATGATGCTGATCCATAGACCACAATTTGATAGTGAGTGCCTTAGCTGTTAATTATATACTAAGAAATGAAACTTAGGCCTAAAATTATAGTGAATGCTCTATAATAAGCCTTTAATTGGACTGCACTCTCATCATCACCCAGCTATTAGGTAGGACCTTATAAGCAATAGTTCCTACCTTGCCTCCCACAGCCACTGGCCTGTCAAAGATGGCGTGCATGCCCAGGATGGCAGACTGAGGGGGATTGATAATGGGCGTTCCAAAGAGCGAGCCAAAAACGCCTCCGTTACTAATGGTGAAAGTACCACCATCCATATCTTCAATGGCAAGTTCATTCTTTCGGGCCTAAAAACAGAGTTCACAATTGAAACATTAAACAAATACAGATTCCTTCACCTAAAGAAAGTAGGTCCATATCTGAGGTAAGTAAGCTCATATCTGAGGTCAGTACTACACCCTCCACCTTCAGCATGACAATTGCTTAGCTGAGGTGACTGTGTCAGTGCTCCAGAGAAAAGGCATGATTGCATAGAATTGACCTTTTCTTCCCCCACCAGGTCTCACTTCATGAGATTTCAGTCAACTAAGCATGCTATGCTTAATCTTCTAGGGCACTACTTTCCTCAGTGGCTATGTATTTCTTAGCTGGCTCTTCCCACACCTGCCCAGCAGCTCTCATGCACACTTCTTTCTACCTTACCTTCTCTCCCAGTTCACTAATGGTTCGTTCTATATCTGCATAATTCATAGTTTCCACATTCCTGATGACAGGAACCACCAGGCCCTGAAAAGAATGAAAAAACATTTTCAGTTGCAA